TTCTTGTGAGTGATATCTTGTGTTGAACCAAATGCATGACTGGGATAGACACAGACAAGGTTTTGGGTATCACAGATTTTAACAGAGACCTGAGGAAATATACTGTGTGCAATCTCCTTTTTTGATTGTTTGGTTTTTTTTTTTTGTTTTTTTTTTTGCATTTTGCATTTTGCTGTGCATCATCAGGACTCAGGGTAGGTCAGCAGACTGAATTTGAGCAAGGAGATCTAAGATGCACAGCCTTGAAAAAGCATGTGTTAGAAACATGTCTCTTTGCATCCTTGGAAGTCAAATTATTGCACAGATCCATCCCAGGCTGATACCATCTGGTTGGATTGCAGCTCAACTAGTGTCTGGCATCTACTCTTCTGAGGAATCCGTAGTCCAGAAATTATGTTGGGTTAAGTCAGGGGCCGGCAGTTATTTTGGGCAGAGGGACACTTACTGAGTTTTGGCAAGCCATCAAGGGCTGCATGAGAGGCATCCCAGGGCAGATTAATATTAATTTTCTAACTTTTTAGGGGCCCCGCAGGCTGGATAAAATGACCTGGCGGGCTGCATCCAGCTTCTGGGCCACATTTTGCCTGCCCCTGAGTTAAGTTCACAGTGGGTAACCCGGTATAGAAGTGCACATACGTGCATGCTTGAAAACAGAGCTGTTTTAAGATGAATGATATAAATCAATAACATACACTGCTCTGTGTTTGACTGGTAAAAAGATATGTCAAAGAATTGCAGTGGAAAGAAAGGAGCAGAACCACAGCGTTTTGGGTGCTCATTTAGTTGTTTGGGACTAACTAGCATGAAGGTAAGAATTAAACAGCGTATCTTAAAGGTTAGATAGGTCTGTTTTGCTTATGGCCATTTATGTCCTTGGGAAGCTATACGGTCTTCCACACTAATTGGAGTTTCCTGAGGTGTGCTGGTTTTGTGCCTAGGTGAATGGCATTGCAGTAGTGCAGTTTGGAAATGTCCAAGTTACATATAACTGCGGCTAGATTGTCACCTGCCAAGATAGGATGGGATGGAATTTCCTAGATGATCTTAAATGGTGTAATTCAGACTGCTACAGGAAGTCTTGGAATTCAATCTGTTTTAACT